CGTGGCCATGGCTGTGCCGGTGCCGGTGCCAGTGCCAGTGCCGTGCGGCCGGTTGGCCATATATACAGCCTGTTCGGGAGGCCGTAAACGATCGTGGATTATTTACTGCTGGTTGGTTTGGTGTGAGAGAAAAACACTGTTTCTGGCTGAAAATTTACGATCATTTACGAGCAAGCGAACAGGCTTAGCTATAAGCTGTCCTTCGCTCCCATGGGTCCGTCATCCCTCACCAATACTTCAATTTTCTCATTTTCACTCATATCAGCCCATGACGTCAGCTTCATACGGCCTATCGAAAAGACCAAAGCGGTAACAGCCCAGAGCGCAAAACTCCATCAGCATTCAGCCAAAAGTGCCACATGAAAAGCCCCAAAGACCATCTCAACCAGCTCAAATACCACTGGGCCAAAACCTATGTACATTGCGGTTTCTCTTTTGTCCAAACAACTTGTTTTTCAAGGGACAAAAAAAAACCATCTCATACTTGTAGACTAAAATTTACACCTGTAAACTAGTAATAATTACGTGTCAAAAAAATGCCCAGTCACCCAGACTACTTTAGTTGCTTGGATCAAGCGTAAAGCCAAAATGATGGTAAGTGTGCGTGGATTATATCCACGGTGGGAGGCTACTACGTACTACTAGGCTGTGACAGTGTGGCTTGTGGTTTAGGAATAAAGAAAACAGGAATGCCAAATTCACTCCAAGTGCCTTGATTAGTTACCATGACAAATTATACCGAGTTAAGTATCAGCGACTGAGGGTGAAATCTGAAATTAGGGGGCAATTTCAGAAGCTGTTACTGTAGCCACTGACAATAGCAGGCATGCACTGCTTTCAATACCATATCTTTTCTCTTTTTCGAGTCACGGTCACAACCAGTCAGGGCTTGATGAAAAACTCGTAACTCGCTCAACTAGTTCGTTAGTGGCTCGTCTCGAGCTCGGCTCGTTCGAATTTTTAATTAATAAGCCATCTCGAGTTAGCTCAGTTAATTAACGAGTCAACTCGCAAGCCAAAACGAGCCAAGTTAATTCACATGACAACAACCGCAATCGGCCCATATATCTCTCGGTCCAGTCCAACACAACTTAAATAGTCCATATATCCATCTGCTCTATGGCCCAACGCGATTAAACACTAAAACCCTAGACAAATAGACCCCATGGCCCTACCCGTCACCTCACCGGCCTACCCCATGGCATCATGTTCACGCGAAACGAGTGTAGCATCCGGTTTTAAGAACAAAACCAGATACGCATAATATGTGAGCATAGAAAGTTAAATCTCACATATAGCTACAAATAAGGGTAATATCAAAAGACAATGCTCAATATATAACATATTTAGTATAAAGGACATAACCTTAGATAGCAAACAGCGGAAAGACAACTCTGATCTTCGGGTGAAGACTCTAATTCCACAGGGACAATTGACTGGTTGATCACAAGTCTAATTCCTCCAAACTCTAGCAATCTGGTATCCATCCAGGATTTTTCCAAAGATTTAAAAAGTAAAGCAAACGTAAGTACATGTCGTACTCAACAAATATAACATGAGGTTCATGAGGCTAAAAAGACCGACACTGGTTTAACTGCGATTAGCTTTTAACGAGTCATCTTTTAGCAATTGAGTAGCAACAAGTTTATTCACAAGCCCATGCAAACACATGATCAGGTAAACATGAATAATGAATAGCATAAACAGTAACCATTAGTGAGTATCAGTGTCATCAGTGTTCATCATCTATTTCGTAAGGGTCCAAGGCTGCTCGTGACCGTGAGCACGGCTGATATACCAGTTTACACTTTGCAGAGTTTGTACGCTTTCACTGTGAGTTGTGATTTACCCTTTCGCCCGAGATAGTTAATCTCTTTGACCCACTTCCAAGGAAGGTCGGCCGGGTTCACTACGAAGTCTTTTAAAGATTCGTCTAACAAGTTAGGGCCATTAGATTCACTCGGTAAACAAATGTAGAGCCCCCTTCCCGGTGGCACAATGACGCGCATCCTATACACAAGGGGACAGAGGTCGCACTATACCCGATTTGTCAAGTCATTCTTACGCCAATAAAGATAACCACTAACAAGCTAGAAAAAGGTCCTCATACTGAGCTAAAGCCAGAGCCATATAGCCCTCACAGCTGTACTGTAAGTCTCAGATGTTCGCTTACAGATAAGTCCTTAGAGAGAAATCTAGAGCACCATAAAAACAGCCCAATGCTCTAGTCCTCTTGTTCCATGTTGCTAAAAAGCATCTTTTAATGTTTATTGCATATTCCATTAGTCAAGTTACAAGATTATGGTTGTAGTTAAGCACTAACATCATACTACCCAATGCAATACCCCATAGGTAACAAGGAATCCAGGATATTAAATAGCTAGAAAACTTACTACGGTTGTCAAGGTAGACACATGCATATGATTAAATCATTAAAGTGAATAAGACAACAAGAAAGATCCCATGCTATACTTGTCTTAACCTCCAAAGGACTTCTTCTGGATCACCAACTTCTTTTATATCACCAACGCAAAGCTCACCAACTGGACATGATCACAAAACACCACACAAGCATCCATGCAATCACACACGAAGCAAACAATAGAACTAAATTAGAACAGTACACCAAACATATGAAACAACAAGTAAAAAAGTTTTAAAGATGTTCTACACATTGCTACGAATACACAGACATAAAAACACTCTAATCGGAGCTATAATGAAAAAATTATGAATTATACAAGATTTTCTTTAATAAAATAATAGATTAAATCTAACCTCGAATTTTAAAAGTTTAAAATATATTTAACAATAGTATAAACACGTAGATTACGCAATTACGAATCTAACACAACTTGAGCGGGTCAAATCGGAGTTAAAACGGAGATTTTATGGCCTACCGAAGATAGTGACAATTTTGTAAATAGATGGAACCTGGTTTTCGAATCCAATTTTAAATCTGCCCAAGGACTGCGGATACTATTTTATAAAAAGGCAGGGGGTCTTTAGCAAAACTACAGGGATGATGGGTTCTATATTAAAAATCCAAGGGGTTTTTTTTGATAAAATGCAAGGCGAAGGGGTACCGGTAGATCTGGACCATTGGATCTGAAACGGATGGCTAAGATTAGAAGGGAAAGAGAGAGAGAGAGAGGGGATCGGCCGGCCGCAACAGGGACGGCGCGGCGGTGATTTCACCGGTGAAGATAGATTTCTCGTCGGAGAAATTGGGGAAAGAGGATACCGACCTCGAATTGGCTCGGGGTTAGCACTGGGAGCTAGATAGGACCACGACGAAAGAGGGAGATAAAAGGGCTCTGCGGGTTCGAGAACTCTATGCAAAGCTCGGGGATGCTCTTACCGTGACGGAGGAGCAGCTAAGCAACGCGGCGACGACGGCTTCTTCTTCGGCGAGATTTGGGCGGCGGCGCTAGGGCATAGGATGGCTTAGCGGATTGGTTTAGGGTTATGCGGGGGCAATGCAGGCGACACGGCGCTCCTATTTAAGGGGTGGGATGCTTGGGAGGCACGGCAACGGCGAGGTGTGGGCGGAGCGGAGTCCCAGTGACGGCGGCAGAGTCCTGTTCAACTCGATCGGAGGTAGGAGAAAGGGAGTATAGCTGGCTGGGCCCATGTCATCAGTGAGAGAGAGCGGGGACGTGGCGGCGTGGCTGCTAGGTCGGCCCAAGAGGAAGAAAGGGAGGAGAGGAAGCAGTCCGGGGAAGAGAATGGGTGGACGTGGCCACACGGCCGACGGTGCGCGGCTTAGGCCGGTGCGAAGCTGGGCTTCGGCGCAAAGGAAGGAGCTGGGCCCGCGAGGAAATGAGGGAGAGGAGCTGGCCGGCTGAGGGAGAGAGAGCAGGCCTTTGGGCCAAGAAGGAAGGAGGGAAATTTTTCTTTTTCTTTTATTTTTAAACAAATTTTCAAAACCAAATTCAAATTAGATTCAAATTCTTTTGAAATTTTGATCAAACCCAATCACTACAAAATAAAAATGCAGCAACATGTATGCACAAACATGTTTCTAAACCTTATAATAAATTTTAATTTCATGAAAAATTTTATTTCCTATGTTTTAATGAGCACAAAAATCCAAAATTAAATATTTTTAACCCTATTTTAAAAAGAGCAATTTTTAGGGTGTTACAACGAGTCCAAAATTCATATGTATTTTGTTTGTTCTATTTTAAATATGCATGTGATGTGTTTGTTGCTAACTTGCGGTTATAATTTCTATGTACTGTTTTTTTGTGCTTTGGCTCGCGAGCCAAATGAGCTAGCTGAGCTCGCTAACGAATTGAGCCGAGCTAGTCTTCTGGCTCGTTTGTATAACGAGCCATAACGAGCCAAGCTAATCAAAACCAAACAAAAATATGCCTAGCCTTTTCGCCTTTCCCTTCGATCAAACTAGTAGTAAGTATGCCCAGCCTTTTTTTTTCCTTTCCCTTCGATCACAACCAGACTTCATAGATTCACAAGCATCTTCACTGTTCTTTTTCTCAAAGAATTACGTCCTGCCATACTCCCTCTATCCCTTTTTATTTGTCGTTATGATTTGCGTGTCTGTCAAAACTTTCTTAAATTTGACTAGATTTATAGAAAATATAAGCAACATTTTTATCCATTGAAATCCAACCATACATGTCCTCCATAACAATAGATTCAACGATCTATCTGATGATACTAATTATGTACCATAAATATTAATATTTTTCTTATATATTTGGTCTCCCATGTTGTTATACTCCCCCTGAAAACATAGAAAAAATGGAGACAATGTAACGGCCTACTCTGAGCACATCGGCAACTGCGAGCTTTGATCATAACACACACTTTAACCGACTAAATGCCAAAAAGTTGTCGATTTGGCAGTACAATTACTGATCCAAGATCATCCTAACCTATGGCAAGGTGTTAAAGGCAATCTGTCAGTTCATGAAGACAGAGACTCTATTATAAAATGGAGTATATGGATTGAGTCCTCGATTATTATTGCTGGTTTAGTTGCAGGGAAGCTCGTGAACTAAACTTTCACAGTACGAAACACATTTCTTCAGAATCTTCTTGTAGTTACATCTCCACTGGACAGCTAGTTCCCATCTTTCCAGAGATCTGTGAAGTCGAGCAGGGAGTTGGTTGTTACCAGAACAATCCAGCTCCACTTGATGGACCCGGAGGAACACAGCAAACTCCTGCTCAAAACCTGACCGCTTCACATCTGTTCTGCAGTTGCTACTGTTCTGTATTGTGCGTAAAAAGACAAGCAGACTTTCATCAAATTCTACTGTCGTAGGCAATTGTTGCAAAGTATCTTCACATTTGCTGATTAACCATTTCAGAATCCCCATCTCGTTTTCAGTCGAAAGCATTGATCCAGAGTAAATCTGATGACTGACAGCCTTTCTACGGTTTGCGGGAGTTGACCATAGCCTTAATGCACATAACAATGCAAATGAGGGGTGTCCATTTGGATGAATATACATCAAATCTTTTGGCCAAGTTCCAACTGAGCAAATATCCAAATCTAACTCAATGAAAGTTTTCTCGTTAGGGTTCTCACCCAAAAGAAAGCCATAGTGTTCAAGAAGTTCCAGGTTTGTGTATGTTCCATAACCAAGGAGGACCTGAACAAAATGACATGAGTGTATAAAAAAAAAGAGATGTCAAAAGAAAGAAACAAAATAATGTTATATTTGCAGAACTAAGAACAGACCTGCTCTCCCTTTTTATATTTTTTTCTTGCATACAAACAGTATGCATTAGAATTTTCATATCCACCATCTGTTAATCTCTCAGATGAATTGTTCATCTCATTCTTCTGCTGGCAATTCGTAAGTTCAGCTGTATCCTCTTCCTCCAATAAAGTATCATCATCAGGAACAGCATAATTGAACAAATCACCCACAGGGCATAAGCAGCCAGCTTCATCCCATGCAATATGTAATGTGCGAGAAGACACCTTAATATAGGAAAAATCAAGAAAATCAAGACTTTATGTTAAACAAACATGTAGTTTACTATTATATAAATATATATATATATATATATAATATGTATTGACATTACGTAAATTAAACTATAAAATTATCGTAAATGGAAAGATTTGTAGCTAGGGCTATATATATAAACAACCTATATAAAATCCTGAGTCAGTATGGCTTTCACATGGTAACTAAACTAATAGACAAAGCTACCATATGAAAATAAAAAAGTATTTGACACAAACCGAGAATGAAAACAACTATACCGTTGCAAATGCCCAGAGCCAGGATTTAAACATCAAAAGCTTAGGTTTAAATTTCAATTCTTTCATTAGTGGTGTCGCATTTTCCCAGTCTGATTTTATGGCACTTTTAGCCTTTTGTGCAACCCAAATAGCATCATCAACCTGAGAACAACAAAAATCATTGGGTGCTTTTGGAGTGTACAGCAAACAATGAATAATGAGAAATTTGTTGACAGATCTACCAAGTTATACTTGGAGAGCTTCGACTTCAAAATCGTTGAAGGTAGCCAAGATAGTGTAGTAGCTGGGTAGCTGAGACAGATAGGGGTACCAAACAGAATTCCTCCCTTTCCCCACTTCAGCCAATAAGCACACTATGAGTATCTGTAGAATTACAAAGAGGAGGCCAGTAAGCATTTAAAGGGATGCTCAAGAAAACGTATCAAGTTAAAAGTGTTAAACGAAGAGTGATTGATACTGGCACTTTGAAAGAAAAAACAGAAACACCAGTATTTTATACCAGTCACGATAGTTTTGCAATTTGCTAGTGAATCTTATACTAGTCAGGATAATTTTGCAATTCGCTAGTGATAAAACCAGAATATTTTAATATGCATTTTGTTTGGTTACATAAGAAAAAGGGTCGCTATAAGTTTAAGCTGAGCATACCAACTGTGTCCGAAGCAACAAACTTGGTAGCACAGCCACAATTTGTATCCAAACTTACCCCAAATGCATGGTGGAGCAAATTCTATCACACATTTACCCTATAGTTACAATTCGCTGCTCAATCCTAATAACCACTTATCCCAACAATTCCTGGTAACGTCAAGGGCAGCTTGATACGAGCACCTTCCATTCCAACCTGCACGGAGGAGAGGCGGGGCCTGTGGGCGTTGACGCAGGCGGCGATCCTGGGGTCGTCTGCCGTGACGCGGTCGCTTGTGAGCAGCGCGGCGCGGGGCGCGCGTAACACCAGCTCGCCGCGCCGCAGGTCGCGCGCCGCCGCGAGGCCCCTCCTGCGGTCGAAGCAAGGTAAATGCGGTGAGGCGAGCGCTGGGAGACCAAGGACCGCGAGCGGATGGGGGGCGGGGTTTTACCCGCCGGCGTCGGGGAAGTCGGCGACGACGAGGGAGCGGCCGAGGCAGGAGGACGGCGAAGAGGAGGCGGTGGTTCCAGAGGGGGAGGAGGATAGGGGCGGGGGCGACGGCGACGGCGACGGCGAGTCGGAGACGCCCAGCTCGGCCGCCCACTTGAGGAGCGCCTCCATCGGCGGCGGCCGCCTGGGCCCTTGGCCCTTGGGTTGACAACTTGACACCCACACCCTGGCTCCTCAAGCTGTGATTTACGTCTTCACGATTACGGGAAGTAGCGGCAAGAGATGCCCACTTTTGTACAACCATTTCTAATGTATCCCTCCTATTCTGATTCTGGCAACCATTTATATTGCTAATATTTGATTTTAGAAACAGGGGAATCACCACAAACTAATCGAAGTTTCTTTTCTGGTCATAGATGCACGGAGACCAAAAGATTTACTTAAAACTTCGTAATCATAGAATCACCGTGAAGACGGTCCACCAAATCTTGTTAGAAGTTAGAACAGGATCTCGTGACTTGCTAGGCAAAATTTTGCCTCCAATTAAAAAGTTTTCAGCATTTTTTTTCTCGAACACACACGAAAGTTGTATATCATTATATTACGAAAAAATAGGGCAAGAACCCATAAAAAAAACTTACCCACACAAAACACAAAGATCCTAAACAAACAGTCGCGCCCTCGGCTGTGCTTTTCAGCGCTGTTGTTGCTGCCTGCTCCAGACACATCTCTCAGCAAGCAAGTACTGTGCAAAACAAGCAGCCACAGGCCCACAGCTCAAACAGCTGCTACAGAAGTGCAGAGAAGAGTTAGAGACAACCAGTCAACCACTACCAACCAATAGACAAACAGCCCCTGGGGTAAAAATTTATGCCTCTTGCCCCCAACAAAACCCCCCAAAAAGAAGCTCCTTACTAGCAAGCAATAGTGCTCTAGCTAGGTTAGGAGCTTCACCATCAAACACACAACGATTACAAAGATTACACAATGCACAATGTCCAAGCCGCTAAGATGATGACCACCATCAACAGTAAAAGTTTCCAGCATTAGAGCATTATAAACTGTGTATATATAACACGGTCCTACCATAGCAAGTGTTTCCATCCAGCAAATTTTGTTACCAATAGTCACCATTCAACAGTAAAGCTTGGATTTATAGGAAACACAGTTCTATACTACATAATGTACAGATTGAGCTCTTTTTATTCTATAATACAAGTAATATGGTATACATATCACGTGTACATACAACAACTACATCAGGGTTAGTATGTACAGTAAGAAAAGGCAATCCTCTCCAGCTATAACGAGCTTCCGTTGAAATATTTACTGAAAGCTTCCTCTTCCTTGCAGTGCACCCACAAGACCTTGTACACCTCAATTAGCAACTTCGGAAATCGGCTAGCAAAATAGCGATCAAATCCCTCTGGCAATGACCCAAGTATGCCCTGGAATTTGTATCCATCAATTGTGAGCTTATGAGAACAAAACAAAGGTTGACTTCTTTTGAGGAGTCAAAACAAAGGTTGACTTGACTGATGAACAGAACAAATTTGCAATATAAAGCATAAATTGTGTCATTAAAATATAATTAATATGGTGGTAGTCAAACATCTTGCCACCTGAGGTAGGCTAGGAAATTTACAAAAAAAATCTAAAAATGCTAGGGAAGATTAAAAAAAGATGAACTATCCTAATTCCTACAGATCCCTCAAGCAATACCCTTCTATAATCAATATGGTGGTAGTCAAACATCTTGCCACCTGAGGTAGGCTACTTACTCAGATCTAAGTGTCATGCCATGTATCAAAGGTTTAAAATACCAAGGGAAAAAATATGTAATTTATCAGATTCGGCTGCATGTAAAAGCCATCATTTAGCTCCCATGTATGATGAATTTAAAGTGTCATTAAAACATAATTAGGCATAACAGAACTAGGATTTCCTCCTGCAAACTCTAATACCACTGCCAACTAAATCTGGATTTGATACTTCACAACTGAAACTTGCACTGCAATTTCATACATGGGCTTAAGCAAACCAAAGCATTTTTCGGCACAGAACAGAACAGGACGAAAGGCATGGAGAAATCAGAAATGCACAAAATATATGAAAAGTGAAATGCCAAAACAAGCTAATTCACCATAGTTTGTTCAGTTAAAAGTTTATCCTTCATTCTTCAAAATTCTCTGCTATTCGTTCACAACATGCATGTTCTTTCGCATGCAGTTCAGACTGAAAATCTGGCCAAAACTATCAGGTAACGCACACAGCCTATGCCAATTAGTTCGGCAACTAATCGACAATTTAACTGCATTCATACAGCATGACAAAATCAAATACAGTAAAGTGCAGCACCAACAAACCTTGAGATCATCTGAAAGTTCTCTGTAATGGCCCGATTTATTTCTGATATACCTCAGAAGATCACGAATAGACTCGAAGTTATATTTTCTATAACGACCCATGTCTGTAACCAAAGCAGCATCCAATTTCTCTCCCCATTTCCCACCAAACGCCACTGGGGCTATGCTTTCCAGTGCGTTTATGAGGTCAGTTTCACTGGTTTTCTCAATTCTGTCACTGGTATCCCTTAGAAACGAAAGGCGAAATTCAGGGCTCCAGAAGAGTGGATGATGCATGACATATACTCCTGTTGGTCTGTTAACGTTAAAAAAGAGTCAATTCAGTAAAGCAAGAAGACACCCTCTGAAAATAAGGGAATCTAGGTTGCACAGGACCTTAGTTCTTACCTTATCTCAGGGTTTGGTTGTAACAATTGAGATATAAGATGCACTGCTTCTGGTATGTGGTCCACCAAAAAGAGATCAAAGCGATTGTTTACAATGTTAGTATCACGTTCATAGTACTCACCAAACGGATGCTTGCCTTTAGTGATACAATAGAAAATAAGGCAGCCCAAACTAAAAAGATCCATTGCACGAGTTTGACGACCATGACGAAGCTGTTCAGGTGCTTGCCAGCCAGAGCTTCCAATTCCTGCAGTGCACCATCAAGGATTAAACTGCTAGCTAAGAAATGCACTTAAGCAGTGTGGCAAACAACATACAGAATGTATTTCCTAATAGTTCAACTCTGCAAGGGTAAACCTCTTTACCTGTACCATGGTGGCTAACAGAAGTCATGTCATCTTGCAGGTGCTTACTGATACCCATATCAGAAAGCTTTGCTCTAATAGGTCCTTCTGTGCTTATTAAGACATTCTGAGGCTTCAAATCACGATGAATAATTCCCAAGTTATGCAAATGCACAAGGCCAGCAACCACATCCCTGCATAAGAAAATTCACAAAAATCAGAGCAGCAATAGGTATTACAGGTACTCATTGGAGTATACCCAACATAACAATAAGTATAAGAATATTACGGGTTAAGGATGTTCCAAATAGAATGTTGCAGAAGCAAGAATGCACAAAATGCAGATAAGTCCACATGTTGATAAATGTGGCACCTTTTAATGGGATCCTTTTGTTTTTCCATTGAAAACCATGCTTCCTTACTACCTAGTAACTAATTACAGGTTTACAACATCTGTCTCAGAGCCAACATAAAAAACAAGTTGTACTACAATTGGTAAAAAAACTTGACTAACTAGATTACGCAATAAGATCAGCACAGAGCACACAGCTCCAACCACAAAATCTTGTGGAAAAGCCAAGACAATTCATTCAAGGATAAGTTCCAGCTATAGAGACTGAGGAACTAAGGGCATGCTAGTTTCACGCTGAACTGCGCCTCGCCTAATCCACGGCTGAGCCCACCACACCTGCGGCGCGAGTTGGCGATGAACTATGAGCCTATGGCGTGAGTGCGGTGTGCCTAAACCACGGCGGCAACCAAACAGCGCTGCGAGACGCCACAGTTTTGGCGTGATGATCTGTGGCACATGTAGGCGTGAACCAAACATGCCCTAAGACCTAAATATAGAAATTGTACATGGAAAAGGGAATGGTGCTGAAAACATAAGCATACGACAAAACATAAAACCTAATCAGCATCACCAGCGGAAAAGATATGAGATCATTCACGTACCTCATCAGCTTCAGGAGATGTGCTGAAGGAAGCCCATCCTGCGTCCACAATTCCACATCTATTCCCTTAACATTTGAAATCTTTGACTTGATGCTGATACTGACCTCATTGTTAGAAATAGACTCTCCAGAAGACAAATATGAGTGTTTCTGGATTAGATCAGCCAAGCTACAGTGGCACCTCTCAAGGGAGATATAAACAAAATCGCTGTCATGGTCACAACCAAAGAGTCTAACAATATTAGGATCACGATCAGATATAATAAGATTCTGAGTCTCCTTTTCAGCTATGTCATTGTGGGAACGCAGCAGACGTTTCACAGCAACTTGACGACCATCATAAGATCCTTCAAAAACAACTGTGCCATTGCTCCCTCTACCAATTTCTTTATTGGAGACATATAGTTTACCAATATGACGACCACCAAGGGCATCTGTTAGCGCAGAATTTTCCATTGGTGCCTCAGTTGACCCACCAGTTTCACTGCACTCCTTGTCAGATGCTGTCAAGGTCTCAGGGTTATTGACAAGTCCATCCTTCTTCCGTGTTTTTCTTCTTTTAGGAGTTCCCTCTGACCTGCCTCTAATATCCACTGATTTCTTGTTGTGCGTGAATGGCTTAATAAGCTGAATCACAAATTGCCAGCATGACTTGCTTGCAGAGATCAAGCTCAACAGATAACCAATGACCAAAAATATGGGAAACAAAGGGGATAACCATCCATAAGTGTTCCTAGTGGGGTTTTTGGTAGCTTCGGGATCAGCAGAGATGACATGAGATTGAGCACCATCATAAGTTTGATTTTGAGAATCATCCAATACGATATTTGACTTCCCAGCAGTGTTTGGTAGCTTCCTTGGGGTTTGAACTGGTTCCAGAGCATCAGAACCATGGATGGAAATAAAAGGGGTACCATCTTTCAAGACAATTACATTAGCTGAATCTGAATCTGAATCAGGTAAAGCAAGTGGCAAACCCTCAGTTCTAATGCATGGAATATCTCCTCGCAGGCAAGGTGACTGATCAAGCATGTCAGGGTGGTTGTATTTCACATATTGGTTTGCAGTGAAAGAAGTTCTTGTCCAGTTAAATAAATGCTTGCCAAGATCTGATGCACTGA